GGCTGCAGTTCAGTGACAACGCATCTGCTTTTCATGCAGAACACCTCAGGGTTCAATCCCCAATATCTCCATATTATGCTAGGTGAGTCGTTCTGCCAGAAACCCTGGATAGCGTCTTCCAGACAGTGCAGACAAATACTGAGATAGATGGTACAATGTCTTGCCTTTGTAGAAAGTAGCTTCTTATGCTCTGTTAGGGACCTGGGAGAGGGGTGGCTAATTTGTCTTTTTTCACTGTAGTGTCTGGCTCACATGACGCTGGCAAGCAAAGCACCTCTTCCCACAACAGGGGACATGAGGGACCACCAACAGCGTGCAGAAAGTCCCCTCTCACCCCACACAGGGAGGGAGGAGAGGAACCCAGAACACTGATGTGCAAGCTCTTATATAGAATTTTGAAATTGCCTACCCTGTAGCTCACAGGGCGGCAAACTATGGCCTGCGGGCCGGATGCAGCCCAAAGGGGTCAGGAATCTGGACCGCATGGCCACTTGAGAACCTACCAAGAATCCAAGGTTCAAAGGTCACCTCAACATTTACTGTAGAAATAAGGCAGGACGACACGGGAGTTGAATGCATGTGAGCTGTCCAGGAGCAAGCAAGCTGCCGGCTAGCCTTGCAGAGCCTCTTTTATTAGCAGAAGTCAACAATTGGAAACAGTAGTGAAACTACCCTGAACTTAACATATTTCCAGCAAGGCACATTTCCAGCGTTAGTGATACACGTGTCAGACAGGCGCTTCCCTTGACGTTAGACAAAGTTTGACCCACTCATCACGCTCCAGCCAAGTGAAACATTAAGCAAAGCTTTCTGCGAGGTAGGCAAACGTCAGAGAGTGGGCATGGTGGCTAGACAAGCTGTGGCTTCTCTTATGCTGAGGTGGGGGTGTGCCCGCATGCTGCATTCGCCATTCCCACAATTTACCTCGCCGCGGTGCCCGCTCAGTCATTCCCCGCGCCGTGCTTCGGTAAACACCGATGTGGCTTTTCATTGGTAGAGCCGCCTTAGATTTACCTCGCTCTTCTACCATCCCAACATAAGCCGATACACGCACACGCAGTGGCCAAATTCTCCTTTCCGGTCGCGCTACAGTAGCTGCCAAGTCTCAATCCGACCAGCGGTTTTCCCAACCACCGACCGACACACACACATACACACACACACACACACACATGCCCCATGGTCACGTGCCAGCAAGAGAAGGGACCAATCGGCATGCAAAGTGATTCAAGAAGTTGTGGTCACGCACGCAGAAGGCTCGGCAGTTGGCAGTTTTTGCTCGGTGTAGAAGCACTGTTCGCTCTCCTCCCTTAGCTCCTCCGCTAATGAGGGGAAACGGCAGTTTGGAGTTGGTGGGCCACCAGACGTTGCTGTGGAGCCAAGCGAGGAGCACTGGCGTGGCAGATAAAGAGGCTTGATGTGAGGAGTTTTTTGAGTGGGTGGCAGGGGGCTCCGGTGATGGTGGCCACAGAAGGGGAAGCGGGTGGCAGCCGGAGGCGGGTCGGGGGAAAGAATTGGTGGGGAAGATGTGGCATTCCCAACGATGCTCCTTCCCACCCAGCTCTCCTGGCTTTTAAATAAGCGCAGGCTGTGTGTGACTGTTCTGCTTGTCTCTGGGCTGTTTCCCCTTGAAGGAGACCGTGCAAAGGAGTACAGCATTGCCCCTCTCCCATCTTCCCGAACAGCGAGGAAGATCTGCTACCTATCAGGTGCAGGTGGTGGTCACACGGTTGTCTGTATCCTCCTGGAGACCTAGTACACACGTGTGTGTGTGTGTGTGTGTGTGTGTGTGTGTGTATTCACAGATGCATATATGGGGAGAGATAAAAGTTCATGCAATTGCTTGTGGGTGCATCTCTCTCCATGGGCGTAGCCAGGATTTATGTTGGGGTTGGGTGGGTGACAGTGTTAGTTTCTGTTTTGCCACTGAGCAGCTGCTTGGAGTCACTGGACTCTGTTTACATTCCAGAGATCTTCCAGTATCACGGGAAAGGGAGACGGGATGTGACGTTAGTGGTTTCCTGTTTCCTTTGTTCCTTTGTTCCTTTGTTCAGTTGCTCTCTGCTTTCAAAGAGAGAGGATGTACTTTGATGTCTGCGTAGCTCAGAAATAACGCATAGCATGTAGCCAAACCTCTCGTCTCTTCCCTGTGCTGGGAACTCTGCTGGATGAAAAATGTGCCTTGGAGCCTCATCAAAGGCTTGAGGTCATTAATTATTCATTTGAGGCGATTCCGGAGACTCGGCCCAAAAATGAGGCTTTATCAACTTGGCTGAGTGGAGATTCCGACAGGCAGGACACCCACCTGTCGTCATCATCCTCTGGAAGGCAGGCTCTGTCTAGCAGATTTAGAATGAAATGCCCCAACAACTGTTGCTTTAAATTGCTTTCTTTTGACCTCAACTGCTCAGGAAAAAAATCTGTCAAAATCTTCCTACAATTTCTACTTTAAGTATTTTTATTTACTTACTTTTTGTGGGGGGGGGCAACTGCATAGTATTCTGATGGAGTAAGAAGCCTCTGAAGTAAAGTGGAAACTGGTAATTTCCAGTCTTTTTTTGAGGAAGAAATACAGCATTGTAAATAAGGCTGCAGAAATGATGAACCTGCAGATGCTCTTATTAACCTACTAAGAGGCTAGTGGTGTGCTTTTCCAGGCTGGCTGTGGAGGAGGGGCAACCCCTCCTATTAGCAAACTAATAATATTGACCATATTGTTAGCCAAAAACAGGCCCATACTTCCCATTGAAATACTTATAAGTTCATGTTGATTAAAATTGTTCTTCATTTTAAATATTGCATTGCTTTCCACGGTTTTTTCTGCACTACAAATGCAATATGTGCAGTGTACAGTGGCAGAGCTTCATGCTCCAGCACCAGGGGGCTGAGAGCAGGTGGGGTGGGGCTGGTGCTCATCCCGTGGGCATGGCACACATCCTGGGGGTGTGGCGCCTAGCTCAGGTGGGGGAGCAGCTGTGATAGCACCCGACTGGGATCACGCCGCCGGTGGCGGTGCCCTCCCCCCTTGCTCCTCTTCCTCCACCAGTGGCAATGTGCATAGGAATTCGTTTATTATTATTTTTTCCCCAAAATATAGTCCAGCCCCCCACAAGGCGTGAAGGATAGTGGACCGGCCCCCTGCTGAAAAAGTTTGCTGACCCTTGCTGTAGCTCAAGACCACCCCCAGAAACATCATACATACATCACAGAAAGAGGTGGTTCCCAGCAGAAATTTGAGTGTGTTGCTTCCTTCCTGTCTGCCAGGATACCCAACAATACCTTACAGTGGTACTTCTAGTTATGAACTGAATTCATTCCAGAGGTCCCTTCTTAACCTGAAACTGTTCTTAACTAGAGGCATGCTTTCGCTAATGGGGCCTCTTGCTGTTGCTGTGCCACCGGAACACAATTTCCGTTCTCATCCTGGGGCAGAGTTCTCAACTCAAGGTCACTCTTCCAGGTTAGCGGAGTTTGTAACCTGAAGCATTTGGAACCTGAGGCGTTTGTAACCTGAGGCGTTTGTAACTCGAGGTACCGCTGTACTTAGTTCCTGAATTTCTTATACATATTGGTAGTGTACTCGCTTAACAGATACTTGCCAGACTGTATTTACAGGAAGCTGTAAGCCCCTAAAGTCCAAAGACAATTGGAAAGATTTTCCCATTTCCTTCCTCCTTGCAGAGAAATATTTGAGGTCAATATGGGAGAGTCAAAATGGCTTCAGAATGGCCTTAGAATTCCTATAACACCCGTGAATCCCATTTTAAAAGAACCACCATGTATTTGGCAAGACACCAGGGACAGCATGAAAAGCAAATGCACTGCTACTGAGAAGGCCGGCTAAAGAAATTTTGCTATCTGAGTGGAATGGGAAAATTATGTCTCCTCACCTTGCATCCTCTTTCCCATCTTCCACCTCCAGTTGCATGTGTGGTGTTGGAGCATTCTACCTCCTCCTTGTTCTCTCCAGCACACTACACAACCATCTGAAGGAGAGCCAAAGAGTCTGCTTGCCTGCCCCCTCAGTGGGCAGGGAGGAAGCCTGGCTGGGGCTAGCTTGACCCAGTATGAGCCAGAGCCAGGGTTTTTCAGCAGCCTCCTTCTTACTTTGGACTTACAGGCCGGCATGTTGGGGGGGGGGGGGAGAAGTGCCATGTGCACTTCCAAGGAGAGAAAGGCTGGTTCCGTCTAATATCTCCCATTGATTGATGTTCTCTGCATTGCTGGCTGCCTAATACCTGAAGCCAAATTCTCGACGGGGCCTGGGCTTGGCAGAAGAAAGGAGTCTTGTATTTGCCTGCATTAACCATGAAGCTCTTGCCAAGGCCCCTACACAGAAACCGCTTATTCCCAAGGCACCTCATGCTGGGTGCTTGTGCTCCCCAGAGGACTCAGAGCGCAGGTGCTAGACTTGGTAGCCTGTTGGTGTTCCCCCATGTCCTCTGTTGTGGGAAGGGGTGCTTTGCTTGCCAGGGTCATGTGAGCCAGACACTACAGGGACAAATTAGCCACCCCTCTCCCAGATCCCTCACAGAGCATAAGAAGCTACTTTCTACAAAGGAAAGACATTTTCCCATCTATCTCAGTATTTGTCTGCCCTGTCTGGAAGAGGCTATCAAGGGTTACTGGCAGTACGACTCACCTAGCATAATGTGGAGATATTGGGGATTGAACCCTGAGATGTTCTGCATGAAAAGCAGATGCACTGTCACTGAACTGTGGCCCTTCCTCAAAAATTGTGCTTGCCTCTAATGTTGGAGCACCTCAAAAATTGCTATCAATTCCTTTCTGAGGAAATTTCACGGAAATCTTCACCCAACTTTGCATTCATCGTCTACGTGGTATGATGATATAATTGATAAATAGTATGTTAAAAATGAAGCAGAGAGAAAAAATCATTTGCTTTGCTGAAGATTTTAATGACAGAAAAGAAGAGATGAGTACAATCTATTGAGATGTTTGTAGGAAGCAACCATCCCCTTCCACAGGGGAGAGGGTTATGGCTTTACAGTGAAGATATTTGAAAGAAAAGAGTGAATGATAAGAGCAGGAAAAGATACAAGGAAAATGTTGGAATAGAGGCAGAGAAAGACATTGCCAGGCAAAGTAGACACAGAGGCTGAGGACCCAGCAATCCCACCAAGATGGCAAGAGTGGAAGGTGCTCAACCCTCTGAGAAAACAACCCTATTTTGCCCAGTAATGTTGCTTGGTCTTCTTGCACGTTCGGTGATCCACAGATGACGCTTCATAATGGCTTAACATGGACCACAGCATGAATCACAGCATGAGCTGGAGACCCTACCACAGTGGGCAGTACTGGACAGGTAAGCTGCTGGCATGATCACATCATAGCCTGGGTAGGACATATCAACTCTCATGCCTGGACCAGAGCCCCCATGTCCACTCCCAGAAGATCCACAGCAGGAGGGTGGGCAGCATTCGGAAGCACACACAGTACGGCAAGACACTTGGGAGCTGCCGTGGGAGACAAGACGGGGTCCTGGAACCGTCAGGGAGCAACCGCCGGGTTGGACATGCACAGCTGAGGTGTTGCCAGTGTCAACCAACACTCCACCACTGCCGGAACCAGATCCGCCACCACATCCAGAACCGCACGAAGTTCCACAACAGGCCATCTTGAGTGAGAGAGAGGGATCTGAAACACACAACAGAATAACATTGAACATACAGGAGAGGATTGGATGGATGGACCTCAGGCATACTCCCAGGCAATCCATGAGTACATATACACAGTGGATGGTTGTGCATCACCCTCCTCCCTGATAGTCCTGCCATACTTGTCTGATCCTTAAGAAATTAAGCAATGGAGCTGAGAAATCAATGTACACCATTGAAGAAAGAGGGATTGCCTGCCAACCTTGCTACTCCTGGGAGATCTTTAAGCTTCTGGGAGTCGAACCTTCATAGAAGAGGCACAAATGCAACAAGTACAGCTCCCCTCCACAATGTGGGAAGACCAAAGAAACAGAACACCTAGCTATGCCTAACCATATAGCATAGGAAAGCTGAACAGATTGTATTCAATCGTACTCACTTGAGTTCAGTAGTTGTAGAGATGCTGTTGGAAGTCAGCAAATGTTGATGGTGGCACTTCAGACTGCAGGCCTTTATATACGGTTCTAACTGGTCACATGGCTTTGTTATTGAGGCATGACAAAGGTCTTAAATTAGTTGCTGGCAAAGATTGGCTTCAAGCCTTGCATCTAAAACACATCTAATTGCTTTACTCACTGCTCATGATCTATTCTCAGGTTATTATACCCCATAAAAACCTTCCTTCTTGTACATTGATGGCCGTATTCTTGGTTGACTGCTAAATCCTATTTGACAAAAAATAAATCAATGAAGCGCATTGATTATGGGTGTCATCAAACCAAGCTTTTTTCTGAGTCAGATTCAGATTAACAAAGTTCGTGAAGCATGTATGTTATATTTGTCTTTAAGTATATATGTTTACTAAGAGCTTTTTCTCCTCTTTTGATTGGAGGTGAAATAGTTTAGTGGGAGAACATCAGTTTTGCATGCAGAAGGTCCTACCTTCTCCAGGTAGAGCTAGGAAAAACCCTGTATGAAACCCCAGAGAGCTACTACCATTGTACACAATCCTGAGCTAGACAACTTGCTATAAGGCAGTTTCCTATGTTTGCTCCCATGCCATTTTTTAAAAAAATATTTCTTATTAAAGATTTTCATGAACTAAAAAGAATGTGTAACATATCTCACCTTTATTGGGGGGGGTCAGATTATAAAGTAATTTTGGTTACGTTCAATGTAAAATGTAAAACAATATAATATCCAAAGGTAGGGGAAGATGGTAGAGGGTGGGAATTTATTCTTATACACTATCTTGTTGTGTCAACTTGGTACATACGTAGGGTTTAATGTCAGTTTCAGTTGAGTAGGTTCTCTTTAGGTATATTTATTGGTTTACATTGACGATGAGAGAAGATTTGGGGGCACGCGTATTTATTTGCCTTTTATTGCCTCTCATGAACTAGCTCTCATGTCTTTTGATGGGTTTTCTTCTGCTCTGATTCTTGGCTGTCTCCCTGACACAATTCCTTACACTTGGTTCCCGACTCTCCTTTCATTGTTGCTGGAAACCCCAACCCAAGACCTGAATTCAGTATGCAATCTCTCCTGTGCTTCCAGTTCATAAAGTGCCACGTTCTATCTCAGTGTAGCCAAGCAATCCCTTTGAAACATGTGCTGTTCTAATAAAAGCTAATTTGATTCCATGTGCTAGTTAACACTGAGTATAATCAACTATTTATATCACACGCAATCATTCTTTTGTCTTTAGAAATGTAGCTATTGCATGATTGTCGTTGCTTCTAAATGTGGAGCTCACACATCTGCACCGCAGTTACATGGTCAAGACCTCCAACTTGGCCCCCCAGATGTTTTTGGCCTACAACTCCCATGATCCCTAGCTAGCAGGACCACTGGTCAGGGATGATGGGAATTGTAGTTTCAAAACATCTTGAGGGCCGAGTTTGAAGAAGCCTGACCTAGGGTATTGCATTGGCTTACATAAAGGAGGATCTAACATCTGGGTCTTCCAGATGTTGCTGGGCTCCAACTCTCATCTGTCCCATGTATCTCTTTCACTTGCTGTTCAAAGGTGTATTAGCACAGAATTTCATCTTTCCCAACCATGCTTTTTATTATGTGGCCAGAGACCCAAACTCTGGGTTTGCGGTGCTCCTCTTGCTTTACAGGCTGAGGGAGCCAGCGTTTGTCCACAGACAGTTTTTCTGGGTCACGTCGCCAGCATGACTAAGCCACTTCTGGCGCAACCAAAGCAGCACACATAAACGCTGTTTACCTTCCCGCCGGAGTGGTACCTATTTATCTACTTCTACTTTGTGCTTTCGAACTGCTAGGTTGGCAGGAGCAGGGACTGAGCAACAGGAGCTCACCCCGTTGTGGGGATTCGAACCGCCAACCTTCTGATCAGCAAGCCCAAGAGGCTCAGTGGTTTATACCACAGAGCCACCCATCTCTCCTAAGATGGGTTACAATCAGAGAATTGTAGAGCTGGAAGAGATTCCTAAGGTGAACTTGTCCAACCCCACTGCAATGCAGGAATCGCAGTGTAGAATCCCAGACGGATGGCCATCCAACCTCTGCTCAAAAACCTCCAAGGAACGAGAGTCCACAACCTTCGGAGGGAGTCCATTCCACTGTTAAAGAGCTCTTACCACCGGAAAGTTTTTGTTAATGTTTAATTGGAATCCCTCATCCTGTAATTTGACATTGTTGGTTTGAGTCCTACTCCTTGGAGTAGCAGCAAACAAGCTTGCTCCATCTTCTATGTGATAGACCTTTAGATATTTGCAGATTACTATCCTATCACATCTCAGTCTCCTCTTTTCCAGGTTAAATATACACAATTCTCTCAAACGTTCCTCATGAGGCCTGCTTTGGAGACCCTTGATCATTATATAATATAGAGTTGTCATATTTCAAAAAGTGAAAATCCAGACACAAATGTTTTTGAAGGGTTTTTCTTGGGGGGGAGGGCAAAGTTGTCAAGCTATTTTAAAGGAACTACGCCAAAATGCCATACACCTGGATTTTCCCAGACATTTCAGTGATTTCCGCATGCACACTGTTTCCAACGGCCTAATCTCGTTGATGTCTGGGATATTGAAGACATATGGCGAATCTATTAATGTCAGAAAATCTATAACACATCTAAATAAACTATTATATGTTAATATGTGGAAGTCTGAGGTAGGATAAAATAAATAACATAACCAGGTTAAAAAAAGAAACCTGCAACCAGAGAAGATATGTTTAAACAAAGGAAATTTCTCCATGTTTTTGAGACAGATGGAGAAATGTAGCCACTGTCCATTTATCTGTATTCGGCACTAAGGCGAACATTGCTGGATCAGGCCAATGGCCCATTTTATCCAGAATTATCTGCCCACCATGGCCATTCAGATGCTTATAGGAGGGCCACAAACAGGGAATGGGTGCTATAGCTAGTTCCTGCTTTTGCTCGCCCAAAATTCAGCTGCAAAAAAAATCACCAACACATGATGTGGACAACCCAAATTCAATGTCTTTCTGTCCACAAGTATCCACATTCTTGAACCTGCCCTCGTTGTCCTCATTTTCACTCTAGAAAGAAAACTTGATTTGGTTACACCTAGAAGAAGTGTGCTCCACCAATCTATAAAAAGAAAATCTACGTGATATAATATAGCCAACATACTAAATTTAGCTGAGAATAGATCATAAGTAGTGAGTACAGCTATTAGATGTATTTTAGGTGCAAGGCTTACAGCGAATGTCTGCAGGCAACTAATTGAAGACCTTTGTCATGCCCCAATAACAAAGCCATGTGACCAGTTAGAACCGTATATAAAGGCCTGCAGTCTGAAGTGCCACCATCAACATTTGCTGACTTCCAACAGCATCTCTACAACTACTGAACTCAAGTGAGTACGATTGAATACAATCTGTTCAGCTTTCATATGTTATATGGTTAGGCATAGCTAGGTGTTCTGTTTCTTTTGTCTTCTCACATTGTGGAGGGGAGCTGTACTTGTTGCATTTGTGCCTCTTCTATGAAGGTTCGACTCCCAGAAGCTTAAAGATCTCCCAGGAGTAGCAAGGTTGGCAGGCAATCCCTCTTTCTTCAATGGTGTACATTGATTTCTCAGCTCCATTGCTTAATTTCTTAAGGATCAGACAAGTATGGCAGGACTATCGGGGAGGGGAGGGTGATGCACAACCATCCACTGTGTATATGTACTCATGGATTGCCTGGGAGTATGCCTGAGGTCCATCCATCCAATCCTCTCCTGTATGTTCAATGTTATTCTGTTGTGTGTTTCAGATCCCTCTCTCTCACTCAAGATGGCCTGTTTTGGAACTTCGTGCGGTTCTGGATGTGGCGGCGGATCTGGTTCCGGCAGTGGTGGAGTGTTGGTTGACACTGGCAACACCTCAGCTGTGCATGTCCAACCTGGCGGTTGCTCCCTGACAGTTCCAGGACCCCGTCTTGTCTCCCACGGCAGCTCCCAAGTGTCTTGCCGCTGTGTGTGTGCTTCCGAATGCTGCCCACCCTCCTGCTGTGGATCTTCTGGGGGTGGACATGGGGGCTCTGGTCCAGGCATGAGAGTCGATATGTCCTACCCAGGCTATGATGTGATCATGCCAGCAGCTTACCTGTCAAGCACTGCCCACTGTGGTAGTGTCTCCAGCTCATGCTGCGAACCATGCTGTGGTCCATGTTAAACCATTATGAAGCGTCATCTGTGGATCACCGAACATGCAAGAAGACCATGCAACATTACTGGGCAAAATAGGGTTGTCTTCTCAGAGGGTTGAGCACCTTCCACTCTTGCCATCTTGGTGGGATTGCTGGGTCCTCAGCCTCTGTGTCTACTTTGCCTGTCAATGTCTTTCTCTGCCTCTATTCCAACATTTTCCTTGTATCTTTTCCTGCTCTTATCATTTACTCTTTTCTTTCAAATATCTTCATTGTAAAGCCATAACCCTCTCCACTGTGGAAGGGGATGGTTGCTTCCTACAAACATCTCAATAGATTGTACTCATCTCTTCTTTTCTGTCATTAAAATCTTCAGCAAAGCAAATGATTTTTTCTCTCTGCTTCATTTTTAACATACTATTTATCAATTATATCGTCATACCATGTAGACGATGAATGCAATGTTGGGTGAAGATTTCCTTGAAATTTTCTCAGAAAGGAATTGATAGCAATTTTTGAGGTGCTCCAACATTAAGACAAGCACAATTGTTTAGGAAGGGCCACAGTTCAGTGACAGTGCATCTGCTTTTCATGCAGAACATCTCAGGGTTCAATCCCCAATATCTCCACATTATGCTAGGTGAGTCGTACTGCCAGTAACCCTTGATAGCCTCTTCCAGACAGTGCAGACAAATACTGAGATAGATGGGAAAATGTCTTTCCCTTGTAGAAAGTAGCTTCTTATGCTCTGTGAGAGATCTGGGAGAGGGGTGGCTAATTTGTCCCTGTAGTGTCTGGCTCACATGACCCTGGCAAGCAAAGCACCCCTTCCCACAACAGAGGACATGGGGGAACACCAACAGGTTACCAAGCCTAGCACCTGCGCTCTGGGTACTCTGGGGAGCACAAGCACCCAGCATGAGGTGCCTTGGGAATAAGCGGTTTCTGTGTGGGGGCCTTGGCAGGAGCTTCAGGGTGAATGCAGGCAAATACAAGACTCCTTTCTTCTGCCAAGCCCAGGCCCCGTCGAGAATTTGGCTTCAGGTATTAGGCAGCCAGCAATGCAGAGAACATCAATCAATGGGAGATATTAGACGGAACCAGCCTTTCTCTCCTTGGAAGTGCACATGGCACTTCTCCCCCCCCCCCCCAACATGCCGGCCTGTAAGTCCAAAGTAAGAAGGAGGCTGCTGAAAAACTCTGGCTCTGGCTCATGCTGGGTCAAGCTAGAACCAGCCAGGCTTCCTCCCTGCCCACTGAGGAGGCAGGCAGGCAGACTCTCTGGCTCTCCTTCAGATGGTTGTGTAGTTTGCTGGAGAGAACAAGGAGGAGGTAGCATGCTCCAAGACCACACATGCAACTGGAGGTGGAAGATGGGAAAGAGGATGCAAGGTGAGGAGACACAATTTTCCCTTTCACCTCAGGCAGCAAAATTTCTTTGGCCGGCCTTCTCAGTAGCAGTGCGTTTGCTTTTCATGCTGTCCCTGGAGTCTTGCCAAATACAAGGCGGTTCTTTTAAAATGGGATTCAGAGGTGTTATAGGAATTCTAAGGCCATTCTGAAGCCATTTTGACTCTCCCATATTGACCTCAAATATTTCTCAGCAAGGAGGAAGGAAAGGGGAAAAGCTTTCCAATTGTCTTTGGACTTTAGGGGCTTACAGCTCCCTGTAAATACAGTCTGGCAAGTATGTGTTAAGCTGAGCACACTACCAATATGTGTAAGACATTCAGGAACTAAGTACACCGGTACCTCGAGTTACAAACATCTCAGGTTACAAATGCTTTAGGTTACAAACTCTGCTAACCTGGAAGAGTGACCTTGAGTTGGGAACTCTGCCCCAGGATGAGAACGGAAATTGTGTGCCGGTGGCACAGCGGAAGCAAGAGGCCCCATTAACGAAAGCATGCCTCTAGTTAAGAACAGTTTCAGGTTAAGAACGGACCTCTGGAATGAATTAAGTTCATAACTAGAAGTACCACTGTAAGGTATTGTTGGGTATCCTGGCAGACAGGAAGGAAGCAACACACTCAAATTTCTGCTGGGAACCACCTCTTTCTGTGATGTATGTATGATGTTTCTGGGGGTGGTCTTGAGCTACAGCAGGGGTCAGCAAACTTTTTCAGCAGGGGGCCGGTCCACTATCCTTCACGCCTTGTGGGGGGCTGGACTATATTTTGGGGGGAAAAATAATAGACAAATTCCTATGCACACTGCCACTGGTGGAGGAAGAGGAGCAAGGGGGGAGGGCACCGCCACCGGCGGCGTGATCCCAGTCGGGTGCTATCACAGCTGCTCCCCCACCTGAGCTAGGCGCCACACCCCCAGGATGTGTGCCATGCCCACAGGATGAGCACCCGCCCCACCCCACCTGCTCTCCGCCCCCTGGTGCTGGAGCATGAAGCTCTGCCACTGTACACTGCATATATTGCATTTGTAGTACAGAAAAAACCGTGGAAAGCAGTGCAATATTTAAAATGAAGAACAATTTTAATCAACATGAACTTATAAGTATTTCAATGGGAAGTATGGGCCTGTTTTTGGCTAACAAGATGGTCAATATAATTAGTTTGCTAATAGGAGGGGTTGCCCCTCCTCCACAGCCAGCCTGGAAAAGCACACCACTAGCCTCTTAGTAGGTTAATAAGAGCATCTGCAGGTTCATCATTTTTGCAGCCTTATTTACAATGCTGTATTTCTTCCTCAAAAAAAGACTGGAAATTACCAGTTTCCACTTTACTTCAGAGGCTTCTTACTACATCAGTACACTATGCAGTTGCCCCCCCCCCCATAAAGTAAGTAAATAAAAATACTTAAAGTAGAAATTGTAGGAAGATTTTGACAGATTTTTTTCCTAAGCACTTGAGGTCAAAAGAAAGCAATTTAAAGCAACAGTTGTTGGGGCATTTCATTCTAAATCTGCTAGACAGAGCCTGCCTTCCAGAGGATGATGACGACAGGTGGGTGTCCTGCCAGTCAGAATCTCCACTCAGCCAAGTTGATAAAGCCTCATCTTTGGGCCGAGTCTCCGAAATCGCCTCTGACGAATAATTAACGACCTCGAGCCTTTGATGAGGCTCCAAGGCACATTTTTCATCCAGCAGAGTTCCCAGCACAGGGAAGAGACGATGGGTTGGCTACATGCTATGCTTTATTTCTAAGCTACGCAGACAGCAAAAGAAAAGTACATCCTCTCTCTTTGAAAGCAGAGAGCAACTGGACAAAGGAACAAAGGAAACAGGAAAGCACTGACGTCACATCCCGTCTCCCTTTCCCGTGAGACTGGAAGGTCTCTGGAATGTAAACAGAGTCCTGTGACTCCAAGCAGCTGCTCAGTGGCAAAACAGAAACTAACACTGCCACCCACCAAACCCCAACATAAATCCTGAGATTGATACTTGGTGGTTCCTGTAGCAGAAAGGAGAATTTGGCCACTGTGTGTGCATGTATCGGCTTATGTTGGGATGGTAGAAGAGCGAGGTAAATCTAAGGCGGCTGTACCAATGAAAAGACACATCGGTGTTTACCTAAGCACGGCATGGGAACTGACTGAGTGGGCACCGCGGTGAGGTAAATTGTGGGAATGGCGAAGGCACCCCCACCTCAGCATAAGATAAGCCACAGCTTGTCTAGCCACCATGCCCACTTTCTGACCTTTTCTCCCTTGCAGAAAGATTTGCTTAATGTTTCACTTGGCTGGAGCGTGGTGGGTGGGTCAGACTTTGCCTAACGTCAAGGGAAGCACCTGTCTGACACGTGTATCACTAAAGCTGGAAATGTGCCTTGCTGGAAATATATTAAGTTCAGGGTAGTTTCACTACTGTTTCCAATTGATGACTTGTGCTAATAAAAGAGGCTCTGCAAAGCTAGCCGGCAGCTTGCTTGCTCCTGCACAGCTCACATGCATTCAACTCCCGTGTCATCCTGCCATATTTCTACAGTAAATGTTGAGGCGACCTTTCAGCCTTGGATTCTTTGTAGGTTCTCAAGTGGCCATGTGGTGCAGATTCGTGACCCTTTTGGGCTGCAGGCCGTAGTTTGCCGACCTATGAGCTACAGGGTAGGCAATTTAAAAATTCTCTATAAGAGCTTGCACATCAATGTTCTGGGTTCCTCTCCTCCCTGGGTGGGGCGAGTGGGGGACATTCTGCAGGCTGTTGGTGGTCCCCCATGTCCGCTGTTGTGGGAAGAGGTGCTTTCCTTGCCAGGGTCATGTGAGCCCGACACTACAGGGACAAAAGACAACTTAGCCAACCCTCTCCCAGCTCCCTCACAGAGCATAAGAAGATACTTTCTACAAAGGCAAGACATTGTTCCATCTATCTCAGTATTTGTCTGCACTGTCTGGAAGCTGCTATCCAGGGTTTCTGGCAGAACAACTCACCTAGCATAATGTGGAGATATTGGGGATTGAACCCTGAGGTATTCTGCATGAAAACCAGATGCCTTGTCACTGAACTGCGGCCCTTACTCAACATGTGTGCTTGTCTTAATGTTGGAGCACCTCAAAAGTTGCTATCAATTCCTTTCTGAGGAAATTTCACAGAAATGTGCACCCAACATTGCATTCATCGTCTACGTGGTATGACGATATAATTGATAAATAGTATGTTAAAAATGAAGCAGAGAGAAAAATCATTTGCTTTGCTGAAGATTTTAATGACAGAAAAGAAGAGATGAGTACAATCTATTGAGATGTTTGTAGGAAGCAACCATTCCCTTCCACAGGGGAGAGGGTTATGGCTTTACAATGAAGATATTTGAAAGTAAAGAGTAAATGAAAAGAACAGGAAAAGATACGAGGAAAATGTTGGAATAGAGGCAGAGAAAGACATTGCCAGGCAAAGTAGACACAGAGGCTGAGGACCCAGCAATCCCACCAAGATGGCAAGAGTGGAAGGTGCTCAACCCTCTGAGAAGACAACCCTATTTTGCCCAGTAATGTTGCATGGTCTCCTTGCATGTTCGGTGACCCACAGATGACGCTTCATAATGGCTTAACATGGACCACAGCATGGTTCACAGCATGAGCTGGAGACACTACCACAGTGGGCAGTGCTTGACAGGTAAGCTGCTGGCATGATCACATCATAGCCTGGGTAGGACATATCGACTCTCATGCCTGGACCAGAGCCCCCATGTCCACTCCCAGAAGACCCACAGCAGGAGGGTGGGCAGCATTCGGAAGCACACACAGTGCGGCAAGACACTTGGGAGCTGCCGTGGGAGACAAGACGGGGTCCTGGAACCGTCAGGGAGCAACCGCCGGGTTGGACATGCACAGCTGAGGTGTTGCCAGTGTCAACCAACACTCCACCACTGCCGGAACCAGATCCGCCGCCACATCCAGAACCGCACGAACTTCCACAACAGGCCATCTTGAGTGAGAGAGAGGGATCTGAAACACACAACAGAATAACATTGAACATACAGGAGAGGATTGGATGGATGGACCTCAGGCATACTCCCAGGCAATCCATGAGTACATATACACAGTGTATGGTTGTGAATCACCCTCCCCTCCCCGATAGTCCTGCCATACTTTTCTGATCCTTAAGAAATTAAGCAATGGAGCTGAGAAATCAATGGACACCATTGAAGAAAGAGGGATTGCTTGCCAACCTTGCTACTCCTGGGAGATCTTTAAGCTTCTGGGAGTCGAACCTTCATAGAAGAGGCACAAATGCAACAAGTACACCTCCCCTCCACAATGTGGGAAGACCAAAGAAACAGAACACCTAGCTATGCCTAACCATATAACATATGAAAGCTGAACAGATTGTATTCAATCGTACTCACTTGAGTTCAGTAGTTGTAGAGATGCTGTTGGAAGTCAGCAAATGTTGATGGTGGCACTTCAGACTGCAGGCCTTTATATACGGTTCTAACTGGTCACATGGCTTTGTTATTGGGGCATGACAAAGGTCTTCAATTAGTTGCCTGCAGACATTCGCTGTAAGCCTTGCACCTAAAATACATATTATAGCTTTACTCCCTACTTATGATCTATTCTCAGCTAAATTTAGTATATTGGCTATATTATATCACATAGATTTCCTTTTTATAGATTGGTGGAGCACACTTCTTCTAGGTGTAACCAAATCAAGTTTTCTTTCTAGAGTGAAAATGAGGACAACGGAGGCAGGTTAAAGAATGTGGATACTTGTAGACAGATCGACATTGAATTTGGGTTGTCCACAGCATGTGTTGGTGATTTTTTTTGCAGCTGAATTTTGGGCGAGCAAAAGCAGGAACTAGCTATAGCACCCATTCCCTGTTTGTGGCCCTCCTATAAGCATCTGAATGGCCATGGTGGGCAGATAATTCTGGATTAAATGGGCCATTGGCCTGATCCAGCAATGTTCGCCTTAGTGCCAAATACAGATAAATGGACAGTGGCTACATTTCTCCATCTGTCTCAAAAACATGGAGAAATTTCCTTTGTTTAAACATATCTTCTCTGGTTGCAGGTTTCTTTTTTTAACCTGGTTATGTTATTTATTTTATCCTACCTCAAACTTCCACATATTAACATATAATAGTTTATTTAGATGTGTTATAGATTTTCTGACATGAATAGATTCGCCATACGTCTTCAATATCCCAGACATCAACGAGATTAGGCCGTTGGAAACAGTGTGCAGGCGGAAATCACTGAAATGTCTGGGAAAATCCAGATGTATGGCATTTTGGCGTAGTTCCTTTAAAATAGCTTGACAATTTTGCCCTCCCCCCCCCCCAAGAAAAACCCTTCAAAAACATTTGTGTCTGGATTTTCACTTTTTGAAATATGACAACTCTATATTATATAATGATCAAGGGTCTCCAAACCAGGCCTCATGAGGAACGTTTGAGAGAATTGTGTATATTTAACCTGGAAAAGAGGAGACTGAGATGTGATAGGATAGTAATCTGCAAATATCTAAAGGTCTATCACATGAAAGATAGAGCAAGCTTGTTTCCTGCTACTCCAAGGAGTAGGACTCAAACCAACAATGTCAAATTACAGGAAAAGGGATTCCAATTAAACATTAACAAAAAACTTTCCGGTGGTAAGAGCTCTTTAACAGTGGAATGGACTCCGTCCGAAGGTTGTGGACTCTTGTTCCTTGGAGGTTTTTGAGCAGAAGTTGGATGGCCATTTGTTTGGGATTCTACAGCTGCGATTCCTGCATTGCAACTCTACAATTCTCTGATTGTAACCCATCTTAGGAGACATGGGTGGCTCTGTGGTATAAACCACTGAGCCTCTTGGGCTTGCTGATCAGAAGGTTGGCGGTTCGAATCCCCACAACAGGGTGAGCTCCTGTTGCTCAGTCCCTGCTCCTGCCAACCTAGCAGTTTGAAAGCACGAAGTAGAAGTAGATAAATAGGTACCACTCCGGCGGGAAGGTAAACAGCGTTTACGTGTGCTGCTCTGGTTGCGCCAGAGGTGGCTTAGTCATGCTGGCGACGTGACCCAGAAAAACTGTCTGTGGACAAACGCTGGCTCCCTCAGCCTGTAAAGCAAGAGGAGCACCGCAAACCCAGAGTTTGGGTCTCTGGCCACATAATAAAAAGCATGGTTGGGAAAGATGAAATTCTGTGCTAATACACCTTTGAACAGCAAGTGAAAGAGATACGTGGGACAGATGAGAGTTGGAGCCCAGCAACATCTGGAAGACCCAGATGTTAGATCCTCCTTTATGTAAGCCAATGCAATACCCTAGGTCAGGCTTCTTCAAACTCGGCCCTCAAGATGTTTTGAAACTACAATTCCCATCATCCCTGACCAGTGGTCCTGCTAGCTAGGGATCATGGGAGTTGTAGGCCAAAAACATCTGGGGGGCCAAGTTGGAGGTCTTGACCATGTAACTGCAGTGCAGATGCGTGAGCTTCACATTTAGAAGCAACGACAATCATGCAATAGCTACATTTCTAAAGACAAAAGAATGATTGCGTGTGATATAAATAGTTGATTATACTCAGTGTTAACTAGCACATGGAATCAAATTAGCTTTTATTAGAACAGCACACGTTTCAAAGGGATTGCTTGGCTACACTGAGATAGAACGTGGCACTTTATGAACTGGAAGCACAGGAGAGATTGCATACTGAATTCAGGTCTTGGGTTGGTGTTTCCAGCAACAATGTAAGGAGAGTCGGGAACCAAGTGTAAGGAATTGTGTCAGGGAGACAGCCAAGAATCAGAGCAGAAGAACCAAGAATACGGCCATCAATGTACAAGAAGGAAGGTTTTATGGGGTATAATAACCTGAGAATAGATCATGAGCAGTGAGTAAAGCAATTAGATGTGTTTTAGATGCAAGGCTTGAAGCCAATCTTTGCCAGCAACTAATTTAAGACCTTTGTCATGCCTCAATAACAAAGCCATGTGACCAGTTAGAACCGTATATAAAGGCCTGCAGTCTGAAGTGCCACCATCAACATTTGCTGACTTCCAACAGCATCTCTACAACTACTGAACTCAAGTGAGTATGATTGAATACAATCTGTTCAGCTTTCATATGCTATATGGTTAGGCATAGCTAGGTGTTCTGTTTCTTTGGTCTTCCCACATTGTGGAGGGGAGCTGTACTTGTTGCATTTGTGCCTCTTCTATGAAGGTTCGACTCCCAGAAGCTTAAAGATCTCCCAGGAGTAGCAAGGTTGGCAGGCAATCCCTCTTTCTTCAATGGTATACATTGATTTCTCAGCTCCATTGCTTAATTTCTTAAGGATCAGACAAGTATGGCAGGACTATAGGGGAGGGGAGGGTGATGCACAACCATACACTGTGTATATGTACTCATGGATTGCCTGGGAGTTTGCCTGAGGTCCATCCATCCAATCCTCTCCTGTATGTTCAATGTTATTCTGTTGTGTGTTTCAGATCCCTCTCTCTCACTCAAGATGGCCTGTTGTGGAAGTTCGTGCGGTTCTGGATGTGGCGGCGGATCTGGTTCCGGCAGTGGTGGAGTGTTGGTTGACACTGGCAACACCTCAGCTGTGCATGTCCAACCCGGCGGTTGCTCCCTGACGGTTCCAGGACCCCGTCTTGTCTCCCACGGCAGCTCCCAAGTGTCTTGCCGCTGTGTGTGTGCTTCCGAATGCTGCCCACCCTCCTGCTGTGGATCTTCTGGGAGTGGACATGGGGGCTCTGGTCCAGGCATGAGAGTCGATATGTGCTACCCAGGCTATGATGTGATCATGCCAGCAGCTTACCTGTGCAGTACTGCCCACTGTGGTAGGGTCTCCAGCTCATGCTGTGATTCATGCTGTGGTCCATGTTAAGCCATTATGGAGAGTCATCTCTGGATCACCGAACGTGCAAGAAGACCATGCAACATTACTGGGCAAAATAGGGTTGTCTTCTCAGAGGGTTGAGCACCTTCCACTCTTGCCATCTTGGTGTGATTGCTGGGTCCTCAGCCTCTGTGTCTACTTTGCCTGGCAATGTCTTTCTCTGCCTCTATTCCAACATTTTCCTTGTATCTTTTCCTGTTCTTTTCATTTACTCTTTACTTTCAAATATCTTCATTGTAAAGCCATAACCCTCTCCACTGTGGAAGGGGATGGTTGCTTCCTACAAACATCTCAATAGATTGTACTCATCTCTTCTTTTCTGTCATTAAAATCTTCAGCAAAGCAAATTATTTCCTCCCCTGTGGTTCATTTATCGGAAAGCCTGGAGAATGTATTCCCGGCCAGATTTGTGTGGGGCTTTCCCTGCAAAATTCTCAGAGGAGTGTTGAAATCAGATCCAGATGTAGTCCATCATTATGGAAATCACAATGGTTTATGAAGGGCTGTAGTACAATAGTCACAGCCGGTATGCTCTTGAGGCTTGCTGAGGCATTTGCTATAAGTAGCACTGTGAGGGAGCTGGGAGAGGGGTGGCTAATTTGTCTTTTGTCCCTGTAGTGTCTGGCTCACATGATCCTGGCAAGCAAAGCACCCCTTCCCCCAACAGTGGACATAGGGGACCACCAGCAGGTTACCAAGCCTAGCACCTGCACTCTGAGTACTCTGGGGAGAACAAGCAATGGTGTTGGGGGCACAAGCACCCAGTATGAGGTTCCATGGGAATAGGCAGCTACTATTGGGGGGGGGCTTTGCGGGAGCTTCAGGGAGGAGGCAGGGAAACACAAGATCACAAGACTCCTTTTTTCTGCCAAGTGTGGGCCACATGGATAATTTGTCTTCAGGGATTAGGCAGCCAGCAATGGAGAGAACATCAATCATTGGGAGATATTTGGCAGAACCAGCCTTTCTCTCCTCGGGGTTGCCAATAGCTCTTTTTTTTAACAATAAAAAAGTAAAGGGACCCCTGACCATTAGGTCCAGTAGTGACCGACTCTGGGGTTGTGGCATTCATCTTGCTTTATTGGCATACAGCTTCTGGCTCATGTGGCCAGCATGATTAAGTCGCTTCTGGCGAACCAGAGCAGAGAACGGAAACGCTGTTTATCTTCCCGCCAGAGCAGTACCTATTTATCTACTTGCACTTTGACGTGCTTTCGAACTGCTAGGTTGGCAGGAGCAGGGACCGAGCAATGGGAGCTCACCCCGTCGTGGGGATTCGAACCACCGACCTTCTGATCGGCAAGTCCTAGGCTCTGTGGTTTAACCTACAGTGCCACCCGCATCCCTTTAACAATACACCAGCCTATTAGTCCAAAGTAAGAAGGAGGCTGCTGAAAAACCCTGGCTCTGGCTCATACTGGGTCAAGCTAGCCCCAGCCAGGCTTCCTCCCTGCCCACTGAGGGGGCAGGCAGGCAGACTCTCTGGCTCTCCTTCAGATGGTTGTGTAGTGTGCTGGAGAGAACAAGGAGGGGGTAGAATGCGCCAACACATCAAGTGAAACTGGGGGTGGAGGATGGGCAAGAGGATGCAAGGTGAGGAGACATAATTTTCCCATTCCCCTCAGGCAGCAAAATATCTCTGGCTGGCCTTCTCAGTAGCAACACATTTGCTTTTCATGCTGTCCCTGGTGT